AATGGGAAGATGCATCTTCCAGAGAAAATAGAACATGAACGTTCAGATTTGTATGCTTATCAGGCTGAGGTTTTTCATTCAAGCTAGCATGTGATGTCGTCACAGCCATCAATTGCAGCCTTTATGAAAGTCTGTAAAAAAAAAACCCCAAAAAAACAATAATTGTGTATTTGTTCATAATCACCCACTTCCCATTAAACCATGAAAAATCAAGTAATGGTTGGTCGCCTCTAATGTACATGCTCGAGATCCAGATGGCATGAAAAATAAATTAGAGTCACATGTGAAGAAAAAAAGTGACTTAAATCAGCTACAGCGTGAGCCGAGCCATACTGACATGAAGATGGACAAGTGATACAGGAGTAAGTGTGTGTGCCTGTGTGTTTGTGTTTCAGTGTGACACATAGCTGTGACCTCTCCCAGTGTGGTGTTAGGTCTTCAGAGTCACAGTGCTATTGTGTCCTGACCTCTCACATTACAACCAGTCAATATTATTATGGAGGCACACACACACTCTTTCTCTCTTTTGGTCCAGATGGTCATTATTGTCTTATTTGTGGGTGGAGGGTGGAGGGTGTCACTGGTTTACTGCATGGGAACCAATTGGCTTACAATAGCACTCAATGACCAGTAGTCAATATCTGTTAAACACACACACACACACACACACACACACACACACACACACACACACACACACACACACACCAACACGCAGATTCAGGGTATTGATTTGAGTCAATGTTACACTTATGATTATTATATTGTTCATTAAAGATACGCATTCTGCTAATTACCAATTCCCTTTGGGGTTTGGACCAGTCATTTTTAATTGGCCTGCCACAAATAATCAAATACTTTTGCTGTTATGTGATTAATCATTCTATAAAATAAATGTATCGAAAAATATTCATCATAATCATTCAGAATCCATAATGATGCCTCAATACAGCAAACAATGTCTACAATGCCTGCAGTCCGACTTATTCCATACGGCTTCAGAAGGAATTGGGCGAAAAGCGTTGGAGAAAATGGTGTATTTATTTAGCCAACCATACATAATTCAATTTCATTATTATCATTTGTCACTGATCATCCTTAAGGCCAGGATTTTGCTCAACTTTCACTTTCTGCTGATAAGTCAAATACATTCATTCACAGTACTTTTTTTCTTGAGCAAAAACAATACTTAAATTAACTCATTGAAATCTCATTATGTGTAGAATGAATCCACCATTGAGAACAAGTTGTTTCACACAGTCACTCAGTTACCTCTGTGTTCAACAGCCTGACTCAACCATGTTTAACGCTTTGTTGACTTTCACAGCTGAGTCAATATTCTGTTGTGAAGCCTCTCCTCAGACTTTGCAGATTTGCATCTATACGTTACATAACCACATCACTAAAATGAGCTTCAATTTGATTTTGAACAACATTAATAGAAACTATTATTTTTGTAGCTTTTAACAATCTTGTGTCTTGACAAGGATGTTCTGTTAACTGAAAAAGCAGGAAGTATTCATCACCTCTTGTCTGAATATCTTTAACGATCATGACAGTCAACAGTTTGTCTGTTCATCATGGTTTGCCCTACAGTGCAGTCTAATTTATAACCATCTATGCTCTTGTACATGTAATGGCATCAACTGTGTTGAGGAATCTGTAATTACCCTTACATTCCCCAAGGGCTGCTGAATGATGCCATAAATCTCTGTAAGGTTTCTGTGTTACAGCAGTGTTGGGTGACACCAATAACGTTCCTATTAAAGCAAATTAGACAAGCTGAGCTCAGGAAACACTTTTATAAGTGCAAAATCAAATCATCCATGCAGAAAACCTCTTCTCCGTCTTATCTCGTCTCATGGCAACTCTGGTTAAGCGGTAGACAATCGGAGCGGTAGCCTGACCAGCAGGACAAAAAGAGAGACGCTTTTCCAAATGGTATTCTTATTCTACCACACTGACACTATTTTTAAGACTGTCTTTAAAACAGTGTTTAGATCCATATAGTACATACTTAACAGTCTGCACACAAATCAGATAAACCTCTTAAGCACAGTTTACTGCTTGGGCCTCCTCTCGGGACCATGACCAAGAAACTTAGCAAACTACCTCGATGGGCAGACATTTATATTTCCAGCCCTGCGTACGACTATCAGGGACAAGTGATTTGTACTTGGTCCTCTTACTTTCATGAGCCTACTCTATGAAGTCCTCTATGGCTCTGTCTGCTATGATGAAAGTGTTCTTGGTACTGCAATAAAACGAGGATGTCCGGCTTCAGAACAGCCATGACGATTTGTTGGAGGAATATCAATTGTTTCCCAAGGGCCACTGAAAGCTGCCTGTCCCGAGCAGATGCAAAGATCCCTGTATGGTTCTTCTATCCTGCCCGAGGCTTCTCTCCTGCCTTTACAGAAGAGGTAGCTCTAGTGGCACTGCGTGTGTTTTCTGGCTGTTGTTGTTGATGGCGTCTGCAACCGGTTTCAGAACCTGGTTGTAGCTTCAGTTGTTTGAGTGCTTTTGGGCAGCAGCTCAGTACATGCTCCAATGTCCCTCTTGGTGAGCACTGTTGCTTGCTATGAGAGTCCACGTTGCCCCAGTAAAGCAGTAGCGCTGTGATTTAAAAGCGGCACGGGAGCAGCAGCGTGCCGAAGTTATGCCACAGCACGTGGAAGTGCCAGGGGAATGTACCACTCATATTTTACTCCAGAATCGCCAATCTTGCACCAACCATGATTATTATTACCAATGGACTTGTTTTAAGACATTAACCGTAAATGTGTATTTAATTTCTTTGTTGACAACGTGAGTGAACGCACTTCCATGCGCTGAGGAATGTGTCAGGTGTCGCTTTTTGACCTGGCGTCACTCCAGTAGAGGCCATTCACTGGGCTTTGTAGGACATTTTACACTGACCAGGTCAAGAAAGTGCTTTGACGTTGCTCTGCATGCCAGAAATACATCCATGTTTCTCGATATCTTGAGGCTGATCGGACTGTTTAGTAATTTGCATGTATTTAGTCATAAACCAAATTATTTTGTTTATTTTTTTTAACATTAGGAAATCACCAAAGTTATAATAACTCATGTGTATGGTGGGGCTTGGGGCTGTCTTATATGGGCCCCATTTGTGTAAATCATCAAGTTTAGTAAGAAGGCTAGTTAGCTGAGATACAGTATTTAAGTTTGGACCAAGGGAATGTTAAGCATATCTGAACTTAAAATGAAATCAAAACTTAGCAAGTATAAATATTGGCATTTGTTATTTTACTTTCACCTTCAGTTAGTAACTGTATAAGATGTCTTCTCTAGTTTACTCTACAAACATTGTGACCAGCTACCAGCTCATAAGTTTCAATGTTTCCTTTGCGTTTTTGTGAAGAAAATGAGCTCTGTGCAGATAAGAATGAATAAAGTATTATATTGACATCTTATGTAGCCATATAAGACTTTATCTTAGTTATTGCAACCACACTATTAACAAGCACCACTTAGAAATACTGGGTCAGCGTGATTCCTTTCAAATCTTCTTCATTATTGTCTTCATTATTGCCACCATCATCATCATCACTCTAAACAGGATGTTAAAATCAAAAATTGTGATTTAAACACAATTTAAGATGAACCAAGCCAGATGCTTACATCCACACACATTTTCCCACACTCTGAGGAATTGATCAGTATTGAGCACATGTAAATGGTATTGATTGTCGCACCCTTTTGTCTGCTATTATGGATTTGTCTGCACTTTTGTGTTAAACTTTACACCGTGTGTGTGCGTGTGTGTGTGTGTGTGTGTGTGTGTGTGTGTGTGTGTGTGTGTGTGTGTGTGTGTGTGTGTGTGTGTATGTGTGTGCATGTGTCCAGCCATCAAAGGCACACCCACTTCTGCCTCAGCAGCAAGGAGCCAGAGCTACAGGCAAGCTGCAACACTTGATTTAATACGATGATGACATCTTTGAACAGAATAATGTTTCATTAACAGTACTTTCTTTTGGGAGCTAGAAAAAAAACATTCATATAGCAAGTTACAACATCTTATTGTCAAGAGACGTGTCAGTGTTGGTTAAATGTTTTTTTTCATGTTCTCAACATTCTCACAGATCTGTTTCAAACAGTAAAAGAAGACATTATCACATGTAGTAGATATTATGGTGTTAATAAATACATAAGTATAATTTTAGTGCATAATTAGGTGCATTTATCCATTTTTTCCCCAACACAAACACATCTTCCTGCAACTTTGGAAAACTTGCGAGAAATTAAAATGTGTTCCCAATCAATTTGTAATTCATTCTTGGAATGTTTCTTTTAAATATTATTCATAACTAATAGTGATACATTGACTACATAAGCCCATGTGGACAAAATACAGTGATGACCAAGAAATCAGCAAAACAAGAAATATAAATTGTCTGTGATATGTTACTCTCTAATTATTCAGAATTAATCCTAATACACATTTAATGGGCAGGATATTATAATGCTAAAAGTCACAGCTGTTAGTCACCTTCATTCAGGGTACATCAGAAAAACCTCTGATCATTACAGCATCCAGCTTATAAGGATTTAGCATTACTTCATTACACTCACAGTAAAACTCCATTCAACACAAGACACAGTGGGAGTCAAAGTGATTATTAAACATTTTTATTGCAGATAAATAATTTCGATTTTTGTCCTTTTTTGACGTTTATTCTAAGGGCATCAGACACTTGATGCTTGTAATGGCTGGTAAGAGGCAGAGGGAGACAGAGTGAGTGAGTATAAAACTTTTTTATTGTTGATTATTCATTTAGATTTTTGTCCTTGATTTTGTTATTGTGACTTTTATTCTTTGGGCATCAGACACTTGACGCTAGTGATGGCTGGTAAGAGGCAGGGGGAGACAGAGGAAAGAGAAAAGAGCCAGGACAGAAACCCCACCCACACAGGAGGTGGACCGCTTAGGAGGAGGGGCGGTACTCGTATCACACACAGAGTCAAAGAGTGAACATTGTATATTCTAAGAGAGAGACAGACGGAGAGAGGAAGGAAACCCTCACAGTGCAGACAAAAGCGGGTTTCTCGCTGGACTTTGTTTACCTCATCTGCTGCCGTTTCCACTCGAACGAGGCGGATTATTCAACCACTCAGCGGGGGAAACTTCAGAGCAAACTCTGGGAATTATTTCATTGTCATTATTTGAAACTTTTGTTTTTCCTGAAGTGTGTGTTTTTTCCTCACTTTGGACCTTTGGATTCTATTTTTGGACTTGCGGTATTATAATCAAGACATTTCTTATTACCAACTTGTCACCGTTTTATTTTCTGAGGCGTCGGTGATGGCCCACCACTGACATGCACCGTCCGTCCAGGTGAGTTGTTTTTTTTGACACTATGACTTTAGAAAGACGCAGTTTTCCCTCCGTGCCCACCGGCATGTCAGTTGTCACGCCGCAGTCAGCGGTATTTACACCTCATTTAGAGTTTCTAAATACAAAAAAACCCCACAACAACATGACTTTAACATATTATGCTCTTGCCGAAAAGGTTGACGTAATCTTTGTGACGAATGTTTATTATGCGTTAACAGTGACAAAAAAAACAAAAACAAATTGAACTTCATTCGATGCTCTTTATTTAATGTACATATATATGTTTTAAGCTGCAGTATTACAGAAACAGTTTGTTTCGTGCATAATATGAAGAAGGCTTTTGGAATATGCCAGTGCGTTTTGCAGCGATCCTTTGACGTGCCGGTCTGATTGTCAACGCAGTGCGCTGGCTTAAGTTCCTTTTAATAACCCATTACTTGGGAGTGCGTGTGTGTAAAGTGTGTAGACCTGTTTAATGCAGAAAAACCGTATATGTGTCTTAGATAATGTGAATATATATACGCGAACTTCTTGTTTCCAGTCTAAAGAGTGTGCTAATTTGTGTTGACAGATTAGAGAGGGCTTTGTTATGATCGAGGGCACTGAGTTCAGCCGCCTGTTACTTTACCACGTCAGGCAATGAGTCCACGTGAGTGTTTTAAGAACCATTAAAGCCAGTTCATGTTTAACTGTTCTGTGATTAACACTTGTGATAATAGTCAATTACCGGACAAGTAAAGATTCACGTTAGCGCTGAATGCCTCAATAAGTTTGCGCGCAGACCGGTGGGAGGCGCACGAGGTTTGAAAAAAAAAAAAAAAAAAAGTAGTAAGACTTTTCCAAGAGACACACAGTTAAAGATTTAGCACTGTGAGACCTTATCAATTGCTCCTTTAGTATTCTGGTGTTGTGGTTTTTCCTCTCTCCCTTGCGCCTTTTTTTTTTCTCTAAGTCTTGTGGCCATTCCTCTCTACATGCAGCCTGCACGCTTTACATCTCTCATCGCAGCGCTTGGATGTGCAGTAAAACCAAAAAGACAAGTTCATTTTTTCATGTGGGTGAAGGACAGACGTCACCACCAGTTTAAGTGTGGTTTATAGCGCTGTTTCTCAGTGCGTAAAAAGGCAAAAGCACTGTTGACATCAAAGGTGCGTAAAAGTGTTTATAGCAGTGCATGTGATCGTCGCGCTGACAAATGTAATGTTTGAGGCCATTTTGGCACAGAAGTAGGTCATTGAAGCTGGGAATATGTGCGCGTGGGGAGCTGTAGTTTAGTCTGGACAAACAGGAAGCGCTGCAGTTAAATAGTTAAGTCCATTTTTAGAATGTCACGTTTAGTCTGCCATTTTTTGTTTTAATCGCCAAGATGTGCAAAGTTGAATGCAGTTGTTCATGTCAGTGCAACTCTGTCTAAGTTAAATTACTGTTTGATCAGGATCATAATAGGCTTCTTTGAGAAAACTAGTTCGTTATAGAGTCATGAGCATACACGTAACACAATAACTGAAACGTTGCTTTAGTGGTTTAATAAAAAATAAAAAATAAAACGAGACATCCAGGCGGACTGTGGTCCGTTCTGTGCATTTATTTGAGGCTGTTTTTGTGTGACGCAGTTGAAGTTAGTCCAGCCGCTTCCTTCATGCGTGATTATTTTCTCTCCACAAGTCAAACAAAGATCTGCTGCAATCAGCAACTTCTGACAAACAATGGAGACGCACCGGGGCCAGTTTGGGCAGGAAACCAGGACTACCACTTGGACAGCGACATATTCACTGCACATAAAACTGACCCAGCACACACTGCATGACTTCAAAGGGAATTCGCTGCCATATTATATTAAACTACCAACTACTTGTAAAAGATAACAGCACTGCAGTTTGCACGTCCGCGTTTAAAAAAAATGACTTCGATCACTGAGGTCCGGGCGGATCTACGTGGAAAATTCGAACGCACGAGTCCTGGCAGTGCATTGCGCGTCTGCACATCCAGCTGCAGCTCCACGCGCAGCAGAGACTTGAGGCTGTAGGCTGTATTGGGGAGAGATAGGGATGAAAGCCCACCCTGACGGTGCCGCTCTGTTCATCCAACAGACCACCGAACCGGTTGGATGGCTCGCCCACAGTAACGGAATCACACGGGACCAGAGGAGATCCACCACAAACCTCCCGTTCAGACAACAGCGGGGGGCGAAACTTTGGCCGCACCGATTCCACGGGAGGAGGAGAGCCGGACTCACCGTCCCGGTGCAGATTCAAACCAGTCTCCCCTGTGGACAGCCTCGGCGTGTTCCAGAAGAGATCTATATTTCACCTTCCTCGCCGCGCCTCGAGTGGATACTTCTCCTACGACGGAGACTCGCTGCCGAGCTCTCCGCTCTCCCCGAGGCCGCTGACGGCTGACAAAGCCACGCAGACTCCCAGCCCCAGTGGCCAGGTGATGCAACACGCTCTGCAGCGCATGACTGAGGCGCACGGAGGAGGACCGGGGACGCAGCAGCAGTACGGTGAGCACATGCAGGCACTTTGCATACTTAACCGGTGAATCACCCAAACTAACCACGCGCAAGGGGATATGTTCAGGAATGTCATTTCAAAGTCCTTTGACATTGGGACTCACAAATAGCTGTGTCTAAACTGGTTAGAAAACAACTGAATATGTCAGTCAGTCAAAACTGATTTCCTCAATACTTAAAACAATAATGTTATAAGTCAAAAATCTGAAATAAACAACCCCCTCATAAAATTTTATCTGCAGAATCAGTTAGAGTTTGGCTACAAGAAGGTAGTAAACTGTGATCCCAAAAGTGTTTAAAGTAAGTGTCTGATACAGTGGTGAAAAATAAATGAATGCACTTCCTGATACAATATAAATACAGCACTTGTTCTGTGGGAAGTTCTCAATCTGAGTCTGCCCTATAATAAGCTGCTCGGGCTGTTTCACAATGAAGTGTAGCTGCTGTTGCTGCTGTGTGGGTGTTCAGCAAAATATGAAACCTGATAGGAGCCCAGCACAGCTCCCTGAAGCTTCTTTTATCACAGATTAGGTTTGGGCGGGAGGTGGTGTTGAATGTTAACAGTGATAATAAAAAGATGAAGAAACACATATCAGGATGTTTTTGTTCACCCCCTCCCACTAGATCTTACTCACAACTTTTTTTTTCTTTTACACCACTTTGTAACCACCAAACATCACTCTTTTGGCACAAAGAGGGAAATCTAACAAATCCAGGCTGCTACATGCAGATCAAAACACACTAACGTGACTCCACACAGCTGTCAAACCAATTTTAACTCCATTATACAACAAGTCATCTTCCAGCTGAGTCATATCAGCTGCTTTTTAGTGTGTAAAACCCTACAAATACTAGAGGAAAGATTGAAACCACACTCAAAGCTAATCTGATTGGAATCCATGACTTAAATACATATTTTTCTCAAGAATACACAAAACCTGGACAGTGTGGACTTAATTCTCTCACATTTCTTGACATAAAACAAATTAAACCATTTAATCTTAAACCTATTTCAAGGTCAATGATCAAATATTATTTTAATCTCTGTCATTATTGTCTGTTTCAAAGATGTTTTATTCCATGGACTCAGACAAAAACATGTTTGGCATTGGGTTTTGACAGCAACATTTATTTTTTCTTTCTTTCTTTCTTATCTATCTTTTTTTAACGAGTTTGATTAAGCGTCTCGGGAGGCTTTGGAAGAGCTGCTGATGTTGGTTTGCAGCCTTGAATTCACAGTTTTAATGGAATCCTGCTGAGTCAGATTTACAGGAAGGAAGAAGGGTCTTCATTTCTCATTAAACCAACCACGCCCCAGGGTGTGTGTGTGTGTGTGTGTGTGTGTGTGTGTGTGTGTGTGTGTGTGTGTGTGCGTGTGCGTGTGCGTGTGCGTGTGTGTGTGTGTCTGTGTGTGTGAGAGAGAGAGAGAGAGACAGAGTATCACAAAATAAGCTGAGCCGATTAGTTTGAATCAATACAACTTTAAATGCAACAAAAATGTAAATGCTTATATCAGGTCACTTCTCTGAGCTCAGATCCTGTCTTTATTTCTGCCGTTTATATAAAAACAGAATACGACAGATGTTCAGAGGCAGATGATCATGACAAGGGCAGAAGCTTTGTGCTGCTACTTTATTATTGAAACTTATGAATGCACCTACTCTTCTACAGCTGATAAAAATAAGGAACTGTTTTCAGATGAAAGCAATATTTTACTCTAAAAATAAATCCTGTCCTGATTTATTCCCGCCTGCAGTGGTGCTGCCGAATGCTTTCAGCTGAAGTTGTCTGGTAACAAACAAAACGGAGGCATGAGGCACAAAAAAAAAAAACAACTTACAAAGTAAATCCCTTCATAGTGTTGTTGCTGTATATGATAAATAAATCAAAGTTGTAATGACAAGTTCTCTCATCCTGATACGATTTAGGAAACTTGTTTTCTCCCGCTTCAAATGCAGAGACATGTCGTTTTGCGCGTTAGAATTGTGTGAAATGTAGAAATTTAACCTTTAATCCAACCTTTGCTTTAGCCTCCTTTATATCTAAGTGCATTCTAAAAAGGGTTCCTCTTTGAGGATGGTTGTATTTGTAGTTAAAAAAAAAAGTAATGTATGGAGGCTAAAGCAAAACTTCCTCAGTGTATTGTAACCTCTTTATGTATGACTCTGCTTTTTATAATAGCCTTGATTAGCTTCACTGATTGCTTTGTGTCTCTTTTATTGTTTCTCATTGTAACCAGACAGACAAGACACCAGTCAAAACACATCAGTGTATGTGTTTGTGTGTGTGCGTGTGTGTGTGTGTGTGTGTGTGTGTGTGTGTGTGTGTGTGTGTGTCTGACATTCATTAAGTACGCCAATCAAAATGGGTCTGTGTGGATGTGTGTGTGTGTGTGTGTGTGTGTGTGTGTGTGTGTGTGTGTGGCAGTCAAAATAGGCCTGCAGGTCTTTTGTAATAAGCAGACAGAAATCCTTTGCCTCTCTTTCAGTCCGCTACATCCATCAGAAAGAACAGATAAGAAATAAACACACATGCACACACACACACACACACATACACACACACACACACACACACACACACACACACACACACACACACACACACACAGGCATACAAAACATCATACATTGTCCTCTGTGTAAAAGAAACATCTGAGTTATCGAGACTCCTGGCATGATGGTGTGTAAAGGAGCAAGATAAGGTGCTGGAGCTTAAGCAGGAATTCGTTTATCATCCTGTTGTTGTCTCTCTCTGACAGCGTGATTACAGCTTCACTATCAAAACACACTCCTGCAGCAGGAAGATCACACCTTCAGTCAGGTGGCTTCAGTTGCAGCCAGAGACGAACTGCAGACTTTGATGCAGTTTTGTCTTTGCCTTGTATATATCTGTAAAGGTTTAATTTGAACACAACTCCAGTGGACAGTGATTGATGCCTTTATATCAGGAATACATGAAAGAGAGAAATCTTTGTTCATAGTTTACAAAGGTATAAATGACTGTTTAAGGGAGGAGTCATTCATTCCTTATTCAGGGGAAATCAAGACATACTTCATGTGACAGTTTGTGTAATCTGGATTATGTTTACGTGTCATCCAAGACATGACTGAAGGTATGACTCTAATTTTGTCAACTTTTAATTGCTTGCCCTGCAGCATCATCAACCCACTATGAGCAAATTGTGTAATCGTTTAATACATCCTTTAATTTTGTCCTTATAAAACAACTGAAAGCAAAGAGGCATGAAGGGTGAATTACATCGTCGGCGTGTTGTGTTACACAGAACGTAAGCATTGGGCCAGCATTCAGATACAAACCATGAGCTCTTGTGGATGTTGTGGGTGAATTGTTTTTTTGGCGTGGCTGGAAAGCAGCCTCTTTGCGTCAATGCTTGAATATTGGAGGATGTGAGAAATATTATGTCTGGGTTTCATAACATGCATGAGTCATAAGTGAAGATGGGTGAAAGGGTCAAAGCCTTTCATAGTCATACAACATTTCAGATTGAAAATACAACAGATAACCACGAAAATACACGCATGCATTGAGTTACCCTTTACTCTTAAATTCTACAAATCACACATCACTTATCCACTGCTAGGTGTTTGAATTGTGAGGGCTCCGGGCCACAGGCTCAGTCAACATTGAGTTAACTTATTTGGCAATAGATTGTGATTTCTCTTGTTTAAATAGCTACAAATCATCTACAAAATCATTCACACATAAAGCTGCAGACTCCGGTCTACTTCATTTTGTTCTTCACATGTCTCAGTAGAGGGGCTTCAAGCATTTAATCATTACAAAACTGTACTAAACTAGTCAAATATATTTGATTTATCTCTGTTTCAGGGCACTCTCCCAGCCTCACTAGCCGGCGACAACGGACTGCAGCAGGGGACATGCAGGCGGAGGCTATTGGACGAGATCTCCAACGCATTGGCGACGACTATAATAGACTACTGCTATGGGTCAGTGATTACAGACACTGTTAGTGTGTGTGTGTGTGTGTGTGTGTGTGACAGAGAGAGACAGAGTTTGATCTGCGAATAGAGGGTCACCACCTCTGACGTCAGTTGTGAAAAACAAAAACCAAAAACACATGGGTGGTCAGCTGGCACACATCCATCCCAGAGTTGGTTGCCATCTAGATTTGACTCTGTGATTGCGTTAAATCACTCATTAATTGATTCATGTTCCAATCCAGCAGGTTTAAATGATTTCTTTGTGTGCTGCAATTAGTTAGTCATTTTTTTATCAAGTAACCTTAATCATCTGAAGCACAGAAATCAAAGAAAACATGAATTAAATCAACAGCACACTGTTTGAATATGAAGCGGGACGCTGTTTTAAAATGAGTAATATGCTCGGAGGGGCAAGAACCAAAATTGGGGGGATTTTGACAAAATAAAATGTTGCCATGGGTGATCTAAGGGAGCCTGAGAGCAGCTGGTTGTTACCACTTGCTTGGGGTGAGAAATTAGACAATTATGTTTTATCAGTAAATAACCAAGAAGACGGCCTGAAGCTGCATAAAATCTAGATGCCACAGTTACCACTTTATGAAAAAAAGGAAAAAACAAAAACAAAAACAAAAAAACAGGCATAGGAAACAAGAAAAGATGCATCTTTATTCTTTTCTCCTCTGCTGACCCATGAGCTGAGCAATGGGAAAGAAACAACAATGAAACTAAGTGCTACTACTCGGGAGGGGCTCATCCCCTCGCGTATAAAAAGTTGTTTAATTGAGGGACTAGAGAAAAGAAGAATAAAATACTGTACTCACTGCTTAACTGCGTTTTTAGGTCATGGTCTTTTGGGTAAATTTACATGCAGTGTGAAGATACAAGCATAATAAAGATCGCAAGCATTAGCATGCTAACACAACAATGCAGCGCGAGTTGTTTTGGTTTCATGCTGGTGCTCATGGCCGACATCAGCTGGATCAGAAAAATTGCATATAAAGCCTTTAAGGGAAAATAAAATCGTTTTCAGAGTCTTCTTAAGTAGTGATTAAGAAACGGAGACCATGTTTCGTCAGGGACTTGGCGTTTTGACCACTAGGAGCGCTACAGAAAATTGTGCAGCAAACCAGTTGCATTATCATTATCATCATTATTATTATAAACTTTAATCAGGAAACTGAAGATTTATCAGTAATCAAATTATTGCAGTGAATATAAATCTTTAAATAGTCCAGTTTAGTTCACTGTAAAGTTGATTTCCTCTTGGATTCTATTTCCTTGGCAACATTTCTGCTTCTTGCATCATCACTGTTTTATGTAATCCTCTATCAAGGAGCTGACTGGAGCTTTGGGAAGTCATTGAAGGAGAGGGAAAAATAAACATCAGCGTGTGCTTTAATCTCAGCAGAGAAACAGAATTTTTGAATAAAGCCGAGAGCAGGCGCAACAGAACAGAACAGAACCGAACTGTTTTTAAGCGAGGATATTAAAATGCTCCCTTAGTGTCAAAAGCTTAACTGTGATAAAGATACAACTCACCAGCCGAGCAGTCTAATTAGTCTGAAACGTTCTTTTCTCTCTGTTTAACTTTCTGAGCACCGAAATATGTTTAACCCTCTCTGCCCGTTTAGATTCTGCACCCCCCCCCCCCCCAAGAAAAAAAAAAAAAAAGCATACATACTTACTACATATGAAAGGTCTTTAAGAATGTGATTTAAGTGCACTTGTGGTTCCAGCAGTCATCACATCTCTCTCAGACCCATCATTTACTCAGCAGGGCTACTCATTTATCTTTCAAGTTTCAGATTTGATAAATCCCTGAATTAATCTGCCCTCTGGATGATCTAATTTACTGTCGACATGCTCCTTGAACATTTTACCGAGTAAGATTTTGTCTAAGTCTCGCCTGCCGCATCGCTCAAGAATTGTAAAAACTCTTGGAAGCTGGGATTAGTTACATGTCAGGATTTATGTGAGACAAAGCGGGTTTGCCGTTCACAGCTGTGACTAAAGCTGCAGAGGAAGAGAAACAGAGGGAGGTTGGAAAAATATGCAAGAATTTGATGAGTCAATGATGTGACTCAACACTAACAAGGTGCCAGAAAGAAAAAGAAAAAAAAGACAATGATGTGTCTTTGTATGTCTTGTACGTCTCATCAAGATACCATTTCTTTCCTCAAGAGAACTAAACATGTTGTAGTTTGTTCTTCTAAGAATGATTTCACAAGTAAATAGGCTAACTAAACAGTCTTAACCATGAACGTTTATACAAAGACAACAAGGGTACACCAATTTAGAGATCTGGGATAGAATGCCCCGTTGTGGTTGAGCAAACCTATGTTCACTAATGGGAAGCTAGGAAGCAAGCATGTCTTTGTCAATCTGCTTCCAGCTCTAACTGGTGGGTTATTGTGTGTGATACCATGCAGATAACATAATTATGTATTTTTTTATAGCTTAGCTAACAGTGTGCTAAACCCAGAGTACAGGAGTTTGGGTAAAGAAAGATAGAAAGAGAAAAAAACTGTGTAACATTGCTGTTAGATAGCAGGCATCTGAACAACTGCTGGCACTTTAAGATTGCATGGGGGAACAAAGTCATTGGGTCAAATGTCTGCTTGGAAGTGGTAAACCCATTTTAAGGTGGTCCTATGTCTCCATAGTTTTCATGGCAAAAGCACAGCCGGTTTCACAACCAAGCACTTGGGTAGGACCACCACTTCAAGCTTTTTCATTGATCTTTGGATTCTTAATGAGTCAACATGTCTGGTGTCTCACCTGAGATCATCGTCATCAGATCATCTCTACGACTGATCACATCTGAGTTCTTGATCAAACTCAAACACACCAGAGGTATTATATCTTCAAGCCAAAAAAATTTGACAGTCAAGAGATCAGAGAGATACATGAGTTTCAAGAAGTCCTCAACAATGCAGTGAACTACTCTGTTATAAAACAGGCCCATCAGGATGGATGAATCATCGTGAATCATATCATGCGCAACTTCAAGTTTAAGTCCAGCTGGGTTCAACAGAGGTGAATCATTGACGCTATTAAATAGTTATTTTTACTTGCAAACAATTGCTTTAAAACAATTACCAGTTGTGATCTGTTTTTTTTCCGCCTCATACTTTATTTTAATTACAGCTTAGAAGTGAAATTCACAGATATAAAAAACGGTGAACAACAACAATTAGAACATTTCTGAAAAAAATGTTTCCTGATTGCAATTTCATTTGGCTAGTCCATTCATTGTTTCTCTGAGGATGAAGCCTGTTGGCTTTGATGATCATTAAGTGGATCATCAAAGCCAATACGGAGGCTTATCCTCTAGCACCATATTGGCTCGTGTCCACAGATAGCATTTTCCCCTGGCAGCGCCTGTTTTCCAATACAAAACCAATGTATTTCAGCTTTTACAGTGCTCACTGTCCTGAGTGCTCAAACGCCCTAAACGTCAGCTGTTTTTTTGTCCCTCTACTCACAGCGCTCTGAGTTGTACAAACTTTTAGAACAACGCCATGCTCATCAATGCCATTTCACCCTCACCAACCAATCAAGATCAAGAAGAGGTGGGACTTCTTACTTTTGTTACATGTCACAAAACTATCCAAAAGATGATGAAGTTTGGATCTGATATTCATGGTGACAAGTGGAACAATCCTTATGAATGAAGTGATCCTCTGACTTTACCCTGAGCGGTGCCGTAAAGTTTTATTTCAATGGTGGTGGCCAGAGGATTAGCCGTGATGGTTTTTTAGTAATCCTTTGCCTATTTCTGTAGCCCTTCAATAAGATTGCCTTTTGTGGTTTTTAGCCAAATTTTACTATCAAATACCCGCAAACCAAAGACATTCCCAGGGCATGGCGGCGTAGTGCATGGTGCTGACAGGCCGCAGCACGTGAAAAAGTATGTCAAAATTGGGGGTAGGGAAGCTTCAGGCAGCATCTCTAAAAAGACTATTATAGCTAGACAGAAAAGCAATTATAAAACAAAAAGAAAAGATGACATTGATCATATTTTAACACAAGAATTGTTATGATTATCCATATATGAAATTCCAGGTTCAAGTGGAAATTGTTGCACACTATGACAAGTTTCCACTTCATTACCAACTTAGCAGTCCATGACTGTTAAACAATGAGCTGCCAGCATGTTGCCACTGTTGACAAGAGAGCTGCATTCAGTTTCATTGGCTGAAGGCATCAGCCAAGAGGCAAAGCTGCATCACTTCAGGCTGTAGAGGCTATAAAATGACTCACATCATCTAAGAATACACTCACACACTAACACACAGGTGCTTCCTCTCGGTTCAGTTCATTTAATTGACAGGGAAACTAAGGAAGCGATTTTTAAGAATACTTTTGTATGCAGAACAACAATTAGAGGTTTTTGGTTTGGAAATTATGCATACATGTGTGTAATCACGCATAAAATCTGCAAATATGTTTTGTTCTCATTTAATTTAGCCTCTCTTGCCCCCTCCCTCTCTCAGTTAAACATTTACACAAGTGTGTCTGATTATGTATGTGTGTGTGTTTTTAATAGTCTACCAAAAAAGTATGGTGGCTGTGAGTGTATGTGTGTGTGTGTGTGTATGTGTGTGTGTGTGTGTGTGTGTGTGTGTGTGTGTGTGTGTGTGTGTGTGTGTGTGTGTGTGTGTGTGTGTGTGTGTGTGTGTGTGTGTGTGTGTGTGTGTGTGATGGGACAGTCCAGTATCCGTGACAGTGTAGATTCATTACGGCTCAGCCCTGTGGTTAAAGTACTCTAAGGGAGCAAAGCACAAGGTCTAATTATCTTGCCAAAACACACAAACACACGCATGCACACTTAGAGACCGTCAAACACACACTCTGCAACACACGCACAAACTGTCATCTGTCAGTAAGAGTTGAAGCTCCTTGTCCTGCAGACAGAAATAACAAATAAAAAACACGACAGAGCAGTCGAGTGTTACTGGACGGCTGCTTGTCTTTTTTTGTTTGTGTGTCTGGGTGAGTGTGAA